TTAAACTATTTCACTCTCTCTATTATTATGTGGTTTTTTCCATCAATATGTAAATTTAATGCTATATGGTAATGATCTATTATTGGTGTTTTTATAATTGGTACGTTGTTAATTTTTCCTTATCTAATTTGTCTTACAAATACATGACCTGAACATTAAATTGATTGATTTACGTCTCTGCTTGCTTCATTTATATATGATTCAAAACCAAACACAGTCATTAAATTCATATACTGATTAACATAATTTGTTTCTTCTAACAAAATCAAAGTTTGTATCACCAACATGGATTACATGTTTAATTTTATTATCTGTTAATATGATTTTTAATTTGTTTGTGTTTAGAGCAAAGTCACATTGGAAAATTTGATGTGTCCACTTAGGGGAATCGATTTTACCGCTGTCCCATCGGTGAACAATTCGTTTATGAACTCATAAATTGTAAAGCTATGTGATATATAAATATATCACTTTGTTATAGATATCTATTCAAAATTTCTCCTGTTAAAATTACATTAGTTTCAATATGTTTAACATTTATATTGTATTAGCATATGTTTTCGGACTACGGCCATATAAAGTCCAAATGTTAGATATGGATAATAAAAGCAGTTTTGTTATTCTTTCGTAATTAAAAAGGAGTGTGAGGTTTTTGTTTTTTGTTAGTAACGCTTCGTGTTCAATGATTTTCCTTTTATGCTCAGTTTGTAACAAATAAACAAATTATTACATCTTAAGAAAACAGAACCGGTGAAACAAAATCCGAATTCTATTTGTTTTCTCACTTTCTTTTATCTGATATACAGATTTGAATACCATTTTATAGATATGCAGAAACAAGTGAAGTTTAGCACTTAGTAAGATAAAAATATCTTCGGATATAAAATAATGTTTTTGTAATTTCGAAATGTGATCACGTGCTGTATAAAAACGCAAATGTTAACCATGAAACAAATCTTATGTTTTTAACTATCCGATTTCCTTTAGCTTATAATTACATGTTTCACGTAAGGCACATTGAACTAATCATCAATATATCTCATTCATGACAAAATAGTGGAGACGGAATTTCATTTATATATGTATATTGGATACTACTACGTAGAAACAGAATGCCTTATAACTAGGAAAACAATTCAAGATACCGTTGATAATGTTATCATGTATCATGTTTTCAACATTTTCTTGTTTTTGACTAACACAGACTGAATGAAAAACATGAAGATTCATTACAGGAAAACGAATTTTCGAATCTTAAGATTGACGTCTCTTTTCATTTGTTTGTTTGTTGTTAAGCGCAAAGCCTTATAAACCTAGATTTACCGCTCAGCCACTGGGGTGGGTAGGTGGCTCTTTTTATCTTGAAACAGATCAACTTGTTGACGCTTCACTTATTCAGGTCATTTAAAACAAAACGTTTAGTTCAAAGCATCCATGATTTCACGTACATAAATTAATTTCTAGAAAAGCACCAATAACAGTTTAGTTACGTCATGCTAAACGTTACCTCACACGTTGACAACGATCAACTAAACTTTAACAGAATTGTTAAGAATTATCAACATCTGTATTTACAATTAAAATAAATACACCGTTAAAATTATTACACAATAAATAATTATTAAAACAGGGACGTGTCCTAAAAAAGACTACATATGTTTCGGTGTTACATGACACCATTTCAGGAGTAACGGTAAACATGGTTGGGACTTATAAACCCACATGATCATTTACCTTCCTATAACCCTTTCTAGGCTTAAACTACCCAGAGTTACAGCACATCTGTCCAGTACTTTATTATTTCTAGGACCTGAACCAGTTTCCTTGTTTAATGCGATATCTTTGTTGTTTTTTCGATTTCAATAATTTAATTCAGTTTTAAATTCTGCCTGATTTATCAACTTGGCGTTACTCCAGTTTTTAACATGAGATGTTTCCGCTATATGTTCTGCTAATATATATATATCCGGATTCATTTACTTTGTATTTTTCTACCGCGTTTTTATGTTTCTTGATCCTAAATCTTAAATTTCTACACGTTTGGCCAATGTAAATTCGACCACAAATACAAGGGATTTTGTAAATCCCACATTTATCAATTTCTTCTATTTGATCTTTTGTACTCGTGCGATTATTAAATTTACAACGTGGAGAAAATGTTACAATACATTATATGTATTTTTTTCATAATGTTATGTCTCTGGTCATTAGTTAACTTCCCGTATAATTTCTTTCCGATGAAACTTTAGCGACACAAGTCCTTTCCTAAACAAAACCAGTTTATTCTTTCTCAATACAACTTTGAAATTCACTTAATTTCAACGGTCACACTATAAGTTAAACAAACGCTATAACTCACAACGAACGACTCACGTGCTCGACTCAATCGTCAATCTCTGTCTGCAGTTCAATTACATTACATTGTTGCCGTCACTTCTTGGCGGCTTATATATACAAGAATACCGCATATCTAGTAACCTCTCGAGACTTCAGGAAGGGACGTGAACGTTCGAGAATATGACGTGTTACTAGCGTCACGTAACCCCCGCTGTCGTAACAATAATATTACCTATTCTTGTAGAAAAGCCTTGAACATATGGTAAACAAACCCTCATGTTATCAACTTAAGATCTTCCCTATAACTTTGAACATGTTAGGGCACGCCCTGTTTTAATAACTATTTATTGTGTAATGATTTTAACGTCGTATTCATTTTAATTGTAAATACAGTTGTTTTACAAAAGTGTCGTTTTAAATTAATTATCAACGTATTATGACATTACAAAACCGCACAATATATTTTTTAAAATTGTCCACAAGTGTAAACTAAAGCCAGGCAGAATTCAAACATAGACCTTGGACAGATGATGCAACTAAGCGTTCATATATGAAAAAAAAACAACCGGAATTCTTCATTGTATAAATGACGTGTTTCTTTTTTAGGTCTGTTCACACACTCACTCCACCTACTTTATCCAGATAAAACGCTCGTCTACGTTCCAGTCGTAGAAAACTAAGGTTTGTTCACACACACTCACTCCATCTACTTTATCCAGATAAAACGCTCGTCTACGTTCCAGTCGTAGAAAACTAAGGTCTGTTCACACACTCACTCCACCTACTTTATCCAGATAAAACGCTCGTCTACGTTCCAGTCGTAGAAAACTAAGGTCTGTTCAAACACTCACTCTACCTACTTTATCCGAAGATAAAACTCTCGTCTACGTTCCAGTCGTAGAAAACTAAGGTGTGTTCACACACTCACTCCACCTACTTTATCCAAAGATAAAACTCTCGTCTACGTTCCAGTCGTAGAAAACTAAGGTCTGTTCACACACTCACTCCACCTACTTTATCCAAATATAAAACGCTCGTTTACGTTTCAGTCGTAGAAAACTAAGGTCTGTTCACACACTCACTCCACCTACTTTATCCAAAGATAAAACGCTCGTCTACGTTCTAGTCGTAGAAAACTAAACTCAGAACATGACATATGTGCATAGTAGAGTCGCGTATTCATGAAATTATATAATGGAAATCTGAAGTTCTCACAGATTACCTAATAAACTCTTTTCAAACCACCGAGTTCTTATAATTAATTATGACTAATTTGTGTTCTCTTCGAATTCTAAGTTTTCCTTAAATAGGCTGTAGTTTAAAATCGATTATATATTAACCTTTATATAATATTTCTATGTTACAATAACTGTCTAGGAAAACGGCATTAACAGTTTTGTTACGTCATTTCAAACATCACCTCATGCATTGACAACGTTAGTTAAAATTGCAACACAAGTTATAAAAAATAATCAACATATTATTATACTACTGAAACGTACAATATATTTTTTAAACGTTGTCTCAAAAATCAGTAAAACAAGAAGTGTTGTTGCACGACAAGCACATATATTGCATCAGTATTTGTGGCAATATAAGTACAAACTACAGTTAGTTCTCTGATCATTCTTGTGGAGTATATATAAACACGAGGGCCATCTTGTCGTCGACGCTGTCCACCATGTCGGATGAAACTTTTTATAAATGTAAGAAACTTTGTTCATATAAAATGGTATTATTATTATTGCTGTTTTAGAAAAACGTTTGGTTTATTTGTTTCAGATCTTTTGTTCTTAGCCTTCATTAATTTTCAATTGAAAGCAAATAGTTAACATTACCTCCCGCCAACTCTTCAGCTACTCCAATGTTCTGGTGCAACCACGCCCCCAAAGTGCGGAGCATGGGACTCGAACCACGAATTCTTGGATTCACGGTATAGGTACTATAACCACTGGACCACGCTCGGTCTCGCAGATAGGAACGCGAGCATTGTAAATGCTTTTGGTTACTAGGAGATCATTTCTGTTGGAACACGTTTTCTGGAACCTTTCTCTGCTTGAAAAGTATTGAAGCTTTTTCAAGAATTCTATACACTCAACGGGTAGTACAAAACTGAACTTCTAGTAAAGGTTCCCTTTTGTGTAAGTAAAAATCACTCAAAAACTGGCAAGTGCATGTTGCTAAAACCACACCAATAATAGGTGGATGAAATCGAAACAAAAATCAACATATCTTCAAACCCAGTCGTCAATACATATTCCTGAGGCCTGGCCTTATATGAATTCATATATACACACATATATATATATATATAATGATTTGACTTTAGATTCCATGCTGTTAGTTTGATGCTTGTTAATATTGGTTTCAAGCTCAAGTCTCTGGATTAAACTGGGAAATCTGACAATAAAACATCATATTTATAATTAGTGAATGGAGAAATACAGGCACTCAAATAAAGTTATAATTGTTTTTAATAAAATGTGCGTGCATATTATTTAGTGTTAGTTGAAATTGTTCTCTCTTCCCCAGTTTAACTTTAAAAGCAAATAAGCCATTGCGTTCTCCTATCGTTGCTTGCATTACAGATAACTGGCCTAAATAATTACATGCTGCTACCACTGTTTTCCCCCATATTAAAAATGAACCGGTCCTTGTGAATTACCCGCGGTAGAACAGTACACCTTAGCTGGCAAGTTCGTCTTGAGCAGACGAAACTGTAGGGTGGCGCGTTGAGTGTGGTGCACGAGACTCCTGGATGGCCATCATGGCCCAGTGAAAGCGTAATGAGGCAGGTCTGACCAATGTCTGTGGAATCAAGTGCGGTACACTATGTTGCACTCGTTCAAGGCCTATCATAAACAACACGAAAGTTGTTTTCTACGAACTCTAAAACGGTAACTGACTGATATCGATACCGATAGTGTTGAAATGTATACTTGGCAGCATTTAAATTAATGCTTGTCAACGTACAAGGGCGGTAGAACTAGAATACGATTAAGAAAATAAGTGTAAGTGAAAGTTTAACTAGTTCACTGTCACTTTGAAGGTGAGGAACCACATTTTTCGTTTCTCGTTCGAACAGGAGGTTTTAACCCTCGTCATGTTGCCCAACTTGCAGTAAGCTAATAGTGAGTAACAAGTACTAAGTATTTAGTTATGTAAGTAAAGTAAATAATCCCAAATAATAATAACAATAGATATAATTGTTCATTTTTCTTCTCTTCCCTAAAATATGTTAATGATGAGTTAAGTACTTTACATCAAATCTTAAAAACAATAGATATATTTAATAAAATTAAAATAGTTTATTCAATACTGTTGAAATGACATTAACACTAACCGGATTCACATAAAAGTTGACCTTGTACTTTAGTTTAGAGTACCACCTAGATCATATATATTTATGTAAACATTATACGTTAGTTCGAAAATAATAATATTGAAATAAATTTACTAAATATTTATTGTTCTAACTGTTAGAAATTTGATAAAGATATTACGTATATTGTCACTAAATGTGAACTAAAGAAGTAAATGAGATATATATCCTGTCGCTCGTGAAGTTGCTGCGATTGATCGGGGAAAGTGATAATTATATTTAATATGTACATTTAATTACGAAAGAAATAGAAATTAAATATGTGAGTTTTATCAAACTAAGACTAAGAAGAGGGTATTTAGCTGCTAAATGAAAATCGCCATGTTTGTGCTACTGGACTTTTACAAATTACAGACCTTTCAGATATTGGCCATATAAAGTCCACTTTACAATGTGCTCCTGTTTTGACAATAACTTACTCTTCATTATGAACGGTAAACAGTTCAGCTATGAACCTATGTGAAATGCAGACGGGCGAGTTCAATATTCAAGGATATGTGAAATGAAGTTGTTGTATATTTGTTTGAAAACTATACAATTTGAAATTCGTTTAATAAACCAAAGTAAACGTTTCTGGCGAACAAAAATGAGTTGGTTCTATAATTTTTTGTCTTTTTTTTTGAAAGAATAAAGTGATACGGCCAAAAACTAAATTGAAACTTATCTTTTTGTACTAGAAAAGTACATAGAATTGATACAATATTCTAAAATACTTAGATAAATCACGCACCAACTTGTATGAGTATTAGAAACATTTTGCTCCCAACCGAAGTAGACATTATATTGCAAGTATTACTTTACTAAAAACAAACTTATTTAACAATATAATTCTACCAAAAACCTTGTGAAGTAGTGTGTGTCTATAATTTGCAACATTTGGTCCGGACACAGTCCTTTTTTACGTGTCTGAAACGTAACCATCAGGATTCCGTCCACTTAGGCTACCAGAAATGTTTACAGAAAATCATGTCTTTACTTAGCTTACCAGAAACGTAATCTGTCAGAACGCCATCCACTTAGCTTACCAGAAACTTAATCTGTCAGGATTCCGTCCACTTAGGCTACCAGAAATGTTTACAGAAAAGCATGTCTTTACTTAGCTTACCAGAAACTTAATCTGTCAGAACGCCATCCAGCTTAGTCTACCAGAAACGTTTTTAGAAGAAACTATGTCATTTCCTTTAGTTACTTGAAACTTAACCTACAAGAAACGTACCCCGGCAGAACTCAGTCCAATTTGAAAAGTAGCCTGACAAAAATGGCAGGCCATTTTAACATCCATGAAAATATCATCTGTTAATAGTGAGAGTAAGAAGGTTAGCCTATTTTCAATTATGTGATTAACAAATCTTAAATAATAACCTACTCTTCTTACTAAGAAAAAATAATTTATAAAATATCAAAACCAACATTTAGTGTATGCTCTTAGTAGTAATTGATATCTATGGTTGAGACGTTATTTTTTTATCTATACTTATGTCACTTACTTTGCCTAATAACATATGACAGCAACATATTATTCAGGCCCAGATCTAAATGATAATCACATATTTACAATGTAATTACCATGCTGAATAGACGAAAGTTCAGATAATAGCCTTGACATTACAATGTTATCAACCAGTGATCAGACCAAGGTTAGGACAGCAAGTTGCAACGACGTTGTTACAAAACAAAACCCTTAGAACAAGACTAGAAGAACTTAACACAGCTCTCTTTGCACTCAGCATTCCCCGCGGAGAACTATTTCGTAAGTGACGTGACACGTAAGAATTACCCTAATTATTCAATATAATTTGATATTTAATCAATTAACGGTTTGTTCGTGTATTCGAGGATAACATTATGCAAATAAAATTATTATTACCATTTTTGAATAGAAACGATTACCGATTTTATTATTTGAAATCGATACCCGTGGGTAATTGAATTAGATTTTATTATCCGAGTAAATCGTCACAACCCAACGAGTAACAAATAACCAACAGTGAGGGAATATGAGCGTGGATTTAGCACGCCACCTGTCGAGTATAAGTTCAAATAGCTTCTTTCGTCGACTGTATAATACATCGCTAAACTTTTCTCCACGTGAGCGTTTTTTATGCTCTTAATAGATTGATAAGAAGATTGGACATTAATACATTGATCTGGTGAAAATATTCTGCCGACATATAATCTTAGTTTATTTTTAAGAACACTTCATAAACGAGTTTAATATAATTAAAATGCATCTTAATATTTTAAATTAATTATATGCTTTTATATTTTGTACAAGTTTCTCTACCGGTTTCTATCTTTAATGCGCTTACCCGGGAGCGGTCTCTGTAAAGTTGCTTCGTTCATAAAATGTGCAGTAATATTTGTGCTCTTTGTAAGGGCGTGGCTAGTCGACGCTATTGTTGCAGTATGAATGATTGCGCAACCAGATCATAGGCAGGAAGCGTATTACGTATGCGGCTTGATTGATTGCACGTGAACAGGTGCGCATAACTCAACAGAAACGGGGTTGGGCGTCAAGAATTTTATTTGTCTCTCTATTACTCTCAAAGTTTCATAATATTGGTTTTTACTTTGAGCCAATTAAGAATATAAATGATGAAATAATTATCAAATAGTTTAGCACGGTTGCAGGAAAATAGCAATTGAATACAATTTGTATACGTTTAAGTATACGGGTTACGGCCAATCTGACCACAGGCGCTTACAGTTAACTACAAGTAGTAGCAGAAGAACAATACGTCAATATTGATTTCTTGCATTTCTTCTGGTTTTAAGTATTTAACTACAAGCGCTCGCGATGTGATTACTAGGACTACGAGGTCGCCTTATCATCGTGTACGTTGACAGACAAATATATTTTTTTTTTCTCATTGTATTCCAAATGTAGAACAGCGTTATAAGGTTTGTTGTTTAAAAGACTGTCTTGTATGTTTCTAAAATAAGAACTGTTTTAGTTTATGCATTTATTTAATGCTGGTCTGAAACATGTATTAAAATATAATTTACTGCAGTTTCTAATTAAGTACTAATTATATATCTATATATGTATATATATATATATATTTGTGTGTGTAAATAATACTAATACTATAAATTTAAACAAAGTGTATGGTCGATTAACAAAAAAGAAAAGACAGGTGTCATTATCCTTTAACTCTTAACGCCCCCCAGTGACACAGCGGTATATCTGCGGACTTACAACGCTAGAA